AATAAGAAACGGCAGTATTGGATAATTTTTTCATATAGAATTTTTTCTATGCTTGAAAGAAGTAGTGCTCGCAGTGAATTTATTCTGTATTCTGTTCGCTTCGCGATTAAAACTAAAATAGTAGAGCTGGCCCTTTCCAATTTTTATACTAATCTGAAGAACACATATTGTACTATATATTATGATACAAAGCAGTCAATATCACACATTTAAGTTATGACAGTGTTCGGATTTCACTTTAATTTTAGAATGATCTAAATTCACGAATTTGGAATGATCACCATAAGTTTCTTGATGCCTTTTCGGAAGAGCGTAGCCAGAGGAGTCCAGGTCCAACTTTGATTTTTGCCAGCGGAACCACGAAAATTAAGCGAAACCTATACATTTTATTAGCTTTAATCTGTCATATTGCCACCTCTATGTTTCAAAAAACGGAAACGAATCGTTTTATAAAAGAGATTAATATGTAATATATTTTTTTGCACTTTAAATTAGTGTAAGAAGTGGAAAAGGGTCCTGTCTTATTATTGTAGATTTAATTAGCGAAGTGGACGGAATACAGAATTAATTTACAGCTAGGGCACATTTGATAATTTAGTCTTTTTTAGAGAAAGATTGTTCTCTATGGATATTGTGTGCTCATATAAGAAAAAAGAGTCCAAATTAAGACTTGAATGATCAAATAAAATAAAACAGAAAGGCATGTCTCTTGTTTAATGCCAAATGGCAATTGAGCTGATTTTTTCCTAAAATTTGTTCATTCTCTTCTCGATAGAAGAAGTTAATTTTCACGCATAATTTGTATGCGTGTCAGTCTGTTTTTCTTTAAGAATTATTTACTGCAAAGTAGACAACAATATATAGACAAATTGCCCACAAATTACATAATATGTACACTAAATGTAACTAATATCATACATTAAGAACTACGATGTTTTCTTGTACGAGCACACAATAGACAATAATAATTTTTCGGAAAAAGATAATAGAGTACACTAAATTTTTATACTGGTATAAAGTCCACAAATTGTACTGCGTATCGATCCACTTTTCAGAAAAAGGTCCCTCTTAGTTACTGAAATATCAGATTAAATTTTACTCGTCAGCATACTGTTGAGGATGTTTTGAATTAACTATGTTTCGAGTAGCTGTCGATGATATGATACTGATTATATTCATAAACTGTATTCTATGTGAGACAGGATTGGGACCACTATTACCACTACTCATTGTCTTTTTGGAATCAGATAGATAAATAAATAATAATTACTCAATAAGAACGTTAGATGACGAATAATGATTACTCATCATTTATCGTTGTCTTTCTCCCTGCGATTATATAACAAAATATTATTCATGTCTAATAAATTCGTTGAACAGCTGTCTTTTCAGCTAAATAAAAAGACAAGAGTATTTGGATAAAAGTAGCATTTTCTATATCAACAAAAATATCCAATTCTGCCGTTTCTTATTTTATTCTTGAACAAAAATATCGTTACAAAATGAAGTAAGAGAACAGCAGTTTTCATTCATGTTCCCCAGTTTCATCTACCTGAACTAGTAAGGGATTATATAAACATAAATGTTTCGTTATATCGCAGTGGGGAATATAATGGTGATTTATCAATAGCTATTATTCATCATTCATCGCCCTTGTTTAGGGACTATTATACCTCTATTTTTTAATAAAAAACTGTAGAAAAATTCCGTTTTAACTTTCAACTTTCAAGTAACGTGCCTGTAATTTAGTGACTTTTTCTTTTTGATTTATTTATACATGGTTTGATAGAGGACACCGAACTGAGTAAGAAAAAGTTAATTCTAATTTTTGAGGAACTTTTTTGAGGTCGAAATTTTGAAAAGTTTCAAAGGACCGATTTTACTAAAAATCGCTACAGTTTCAAAAGATTCAAATTTTGCGTTTTCCGTTTACTTTTAATTTTTCAAGCTAATTTTTCTGAATTCAGCATTGAAAACTGATTTTTTCTGCATCGTGAGCGAAAAGCTGGGAATTCTGCCCGTTAGTGTAAATTTTCTCAACCAGAACTCATTTTTTACGCATCCGAAGCGAAAAAGTTGGAATTCTGTATGTTTGGAAATGTATAGTTCCAAATTGTTTGTTAAAGTTTTTTTGGTAAAATAGGTATTTTTCACACCACGAAAATTCGAAAAAAACGAAAGTTGCCGGGAAGGCTGAAAAAATACAGCATTCGATCCAGTTTTGGGTGATAATTTTGAATATTTTTTTTATTGCATGAAAAATGAGTTCTGGTTGAGTAAAGTAGGGACCTGCCAGCCCTCTGTGCAATGTGCTGTTCAAGTAATGCAACATATTGAAAATTATCGAGTGCAAAACAAGAAAGAAATCGCTGAAAAATCATCGCTGAAAGTACGTCTGAGACTTAGAGACGTCGCATCACTTGAACAGCACATTGTACAGTGGGCTAGCAGATCTCGTTAGATAGAATGAACTCTGCTCCAGGTTTCGTTTCACTGTTAAAGCAATATGGTATTTCTAAAATCTAAAAATTATTTTTAAAAAATTCCGTTAAGACGAATTATTATAAGTATAAAATCATATCGTTTTCAGTTTTCAATCCTGTTTCTAACGGAGTACTTGAAAGTTGAAAGTTAAAATGGAATTTTTCTACGGCTTTTAATTAAAAAATATAAATATATAATTTGAATTCAAAGACTACAACTAGCAATTGTTTAAAATTCCTTTTATCAAAATGTAGCCCATTCAGTTCTACATTTAATGATATATATCAGAAATTTTTGCTATTATCGGATAAAAAAAATTGTTGAAATACTAAAAGCGTGTTAAACTTTTGACCGCTGGAGCAAAATTTATCTGTAAAACCAAACCAATTGAGCATAAAAAATCGTTCGTATCTCAGCTTTGACGTTCGTTCTGAGATGTATTACCGAAATTCGGAACAAATAATGCTGATTATTTCGGAAAACATGTCATCTCCGAACTCCGACATGGATAGAACATGTTCCTCTACTTAAATAAATGACAACTAAGGCTTCTTAAGCACTAAATACGTTCAGAGAGGTAATGACAATAAATGACGTTATTTATCTATGGTTGAGGCTACATCGGTTTGTCGTTATTTACATGATTATCAAAGATTAATTGGGCAATGTTGTGATTCGGTAGAAGCCGATGAATGTCCCACATTAAGTAATTGTGAACTAGTCGTGCAATTTATTAAAATGTCAACAACTCTCCTCACATTGGAAGAGAAAAGGTCAATACGCCTACAACTGAAAATTGAGAATATATTTAAACACTCATTGTCATCAACAACAATCAAATATTGTTCGAATTCGTATTATTCATTGATGTACGATGTAGATGAAATGCACTCACGTTTGAAACAAATTGAAATAGCGACGGAAAACAAATTCCATCAAACTGTTTTCAGTGCAATTGATTTGTATCAGAAGATATTTGAAGATAATTCAAATAATGAAGTTTTAAAATGTGTGTTGAAACCGTATTTGTATTTTCAACATAATTCATCATTTCCGTTTCGAGGCATTTTCTTTAACAGATAATAACGATGAAACCGATGCTTGATTGTTTTTGATTAAACGAAGAGTGTTTCTTGTTTTCTGGACATCATGGAGAAACTGCACTTGCCGCAAGTTCAACCTCGACCAATCAAACAGTCGCAAAACATAACACTCATTCCGCCAACAACCTACAGCACCAATCACCCAAAATTATTATATTCACCGAATTCAGGATACTGAGGATATTTAGGGTATATAGGATCTCCAGGATATATAGGCTTTTCAGGATATCTAGGACATTTAGGATATTCAGGGTATTTAGGATATTTAGGGTATTTAAGACAATCAGGATATCTAGGATAATTAGGATATTTAGGGTACTTAGGATATTTAGGACATTTAGGGTATTTAAGACAATCAGGATATCTAGGATAATTAGGATATTTAGGATATTTAGGATATTTAGGGTATTTCGGATATTTAGAGTATTTAGGACAAACAGGATATCCAGGATAATTAGGATATTTAGGGTATTTAGGATATTTAGGATATTTAGGAAATAGAGGGTATTTAGGATATTTAGGGTATTTAAGATATTTCGGGTATTTACGACAATCCGGATATCTAGGATAATTAGGATATTTAGGGTATTTAGGGCATTTAGGATATTTAGGATATTTAGGGTATTTAGGATCATCAGGATATCTAGTATAATTAGGACATTTAGGGTATTGAGAATATTCAGGGTATTTAGGAAAATCCAAATATTTTGCCATAATTAAGATATTTAGGGTATTTAGGACAATCAGGATATCTAGGATAATTAGGACATTCAGGGCATATACGATATTTAGGGTATTTAGGTCAATCACGATATCTAGGATAAATAGGACATTTACGGTATTTACAATATTTAGGGTATTTAGGACAATCAGGATATCCAAGATAATTAGAATATTTAGGGTATTTAGGACAATCATGATATCTAGGATAATTAAGATATTTAGGGTATTTAGAATATCCTAATTATCCTTGATATCCTGATTGTTTTAAATACCCTAAATATAGTAAATACCCTAAATATCCTAATTATCGTAGATATCCTGATTGTCCTAAATACCCCCAATACCCTAAATATCCTAGATACCCTAAATATCCTATTTATCCCAGATATCCTGAATATCCTAAATACCCCAAATATCCTAAATACCCCAAATATCCTAAATACCCTAAATATCCTAATTATCCTAGATATCCTGATTGTCCTAAATACCCTGATTGTCCTAAATACCCTAAATATTGTCCTAAATACCCTGAATATATTAAATACCCTAAATATCCTAAATACCCTAAATATCCTAATTATCGTAGATATCCTGATTGTCCTAAATACCCCAAATATCCTAGATACCCTAAATATCCTATTTATCCTAGATATCCTGAATTTCCTAATTACCCTAAATATCCTGATTATCCTAATTATTAGATTGTCCTAATTGTCCTAGATATCCTGATTGTCTTAAATACCCTAAATATCCTAAATACCCTAAATATCCTAAATGTCCTAGATATTCTGATTGTCTCAAATACCCCAAATATCCAGGATATCTAGGATGATTAGGATATTTAGGGTATTTAGGATATTTAAGGCATTTAGGACAATCAGGATATCTAGGATAATTAGGATATTTAGGGTATTAAGGATATTTAGGATATTCAGGATAATCAGAATATCTAGGACATTTAGGATATTTAGGGTACTTAAGATAATCACGATATCTAGGACAATTAGGACAATCTAATGATTAGGATAATTAGGATATTTAGGGTATTTAGCATATTTAGGGCATTTAGGACATTTCGGGTATTTACGACAATCCGAATATCTAGGATAATTAGGATATTTAGGGTATTTAGGATATTTAGGTTATTTGGGATATTTAGTATATTTAGGATATTTAGGATATTCAGGATATTTAGGTTATTTAGGATATTTAGGGTATTTAGGATATTTAGGACATTTAGAATAATTGGGGCATTTAAGGTATTTAGGGTATTTAGGATATTTAGGATATATAGGACAATCATGATATCTAGGATAACTAGGATATTTGGGGTATTTAGCATATTTAGGATATTTAAGACAATCGGGACATCTAGAATAATTAGGATATTTAGGGTATTTAGGATATTTGAGGTATTTAGGATATTACAACCAGGATATGTAGGATAATTAGGATATTTAGGGTATTTAGGATATTTGGGGTATTTAGGATATTTAGGGTGCTTAAGACAATCAGGATATCTAAGATTATTACGATATTTAGGGTATTTGAGACAATCAGAATATCTAGGACATTTAGGATATTTAGAGTATTTAGGATATTCCGGGTATTTAGAACAATCAGGATATTTGGGATAATTTGGATATTTAGGGTATTTGATACGCTAAATATCCCAATTATCCTACACAGCCTGATTGTCTTAAATACCCTAAATATACTAAACACCCTAAATATCCTAATTATCCTAGATATCATGATTGTCCTAAATACCTTAAATATTCTAAATACGCTAAATATTCTAAATACCCTAAATATCCTAATTATCCCAGATATCGTGATTGTCCTAAATACCCTAAATATCCTTTATGCCCTGAATGTCCTATTTATCCTAGATATCATGATTGTCCTACATACCCTAAATATCCGAAATACCGTAAAGGTCCTAATTATCCTAGATATCCTGATTATCCTTTATGCCCTGAATGTCCTATTTATCCTAGATATCATGAGTGTCCTAAATACACTAAATATTCTACATACCCTAAATATCCGAAATACCGTAAAGGTCCTAATTATCCTAGATATCCTGATTGTCCTAAATACCCTAAATATTCTAAGTACCCTAAATGTCCTAAATACCCTAAATATACTAAATACCCTAAATATCCGAAATACCGTAAAGGTCCTAATTATCCTAGATATCCTGATTGTTCTAAATACGCTAAATATCCCAAATACCATAAATATCCTAAATACCCAAAATATCCTAATTATTCTAAATGTCCCAAATATCCTAAATACCCTAAATATCCAAAATACCCTAAAAAACCTGATTGTCCTAATTGTCCTAGATATCCTGATTGTCTTAAATACCCAAAATATGCTAAATACCCTAGATATCCTCAATGTCCTAGATATTCTGATTGTCTCAAATACCCTAAATATCCAGGATATCTAGGATAATTAGGATATTTAGGGTATTTAAGACAATCAGAATATCTAGGATAATTAGGACAATCTAATAATTAGGATATTTAGGTTATTTGGGACATTTACGGTGTTCACGAGAATCCGGATATCTAGTATATTTAGGATATTCAGGATATTTAGGGCATTTAGGACAATCAGGATATCTAGGATAATTAGGATATTTAGGTTATTAAGGATATTTAGGATAGTCAGGACAATCAGAATATCTAGGACATTTAGGACAATCTAATAATTAGGATAATTATTCTAGATATCCTGCTTGTCCTAAATACTCTAAATATTCTAAATACCCGGAGTATCCTAATTATCCTAGATATCCTGATTGTTCTAAATACCCTAAATATCCTAAATACCCTAAATGTCCTAATTATTCTAGATATCGTAATTCTACTAAATACCCTAAATATTCCAAATACCCTAAATGTCTTAAATATTTATTTAGGATATTTCGGGTATTTAAGACAATCCGGATATCTAGGATAATTAGGACAATCTATTAATTAGGATATTTAGGATATTTAGGATATTTAGGATATTTAGGTTATTTAGGGTATTTAGCATATTTAGAGTATTTAAGACAATCAGGATATTTAGGGTATTTAGGATATTTAGGGTGGTTAGGACCATCAGGATATCTAGGATAATTAGGATACTCCGGGTATTTAGAATATTTAGAGTATTTAAGAGAATCAGGATATCCAGGATAATTAGGATATTTAGGATATTTAGGGTGTTTAGGACAATCAGGATATCTAGGATAATTAGGATATTCGGGGTATTTACTATATTTAGGGTATTTAGGACCATCAGGATATCTACGATAATTTGGATATTTAGGGTATTTAGAACAATCAGGATATCTGGGATAATTTGGATATTTAGGGTATTTAATACGCTAAATATCCTAAATACGCCAAATATCCAATTATCCTAGATATCCTGATTGTCCTAAATACCCTAAATATTCTAAATACCCTAAGTATCCTAATTATCCTAGATATCGTGATTGATCTAAATACCCTGAATATCCTATATGCCCTAAATGTCCTAATTATCCTAGATATCCTGATTGTCTTAAATACACTAAATATTCTACATAGCCCAAATGTCCTAATTATCGTAAATAGCCTGATTGTCCTAAATACCCTAAATATTCTGAATACCCTAAGTATCCTAATTATCCTAGATGTCGTGATTGATCTAAATACCCTGAATATCCTATATGCCCTAAATGTCCTAATTATCCTAGATATCCTGATTGTCTTAAATACACTAAATGTTCTACATACCCCAAATGTCCTAATTATCGTAAATAGCCTGATTGTCCTAAATACCCTAAATACACTAAACACCCTAAGTATCCTAATTATCCTAGATATCCTGATTGTCTTAAATACCCTAAATATTCTAAACAAGTATGACTACGTAATCACTCGCCGTGATCAAAATCGACCCCCATATGATTTCTAAAAAATTCGGTTTTTGCGAAAATCTAAGCGATTTTTAGCGAAGTTTTTAACACGATAAATTTTGCTCCAAGATTCTTGCCCGGTTTGGAAGAAATTATAAAAATAGACCCTCACCGATTTTCAGCAAAATCTTTCAGATAAATCACTCTCCCTTTGAATAATATTTTCATTTTCTTTTTTCTACACGTCTGTCCGTCTCTATCGTGTCTGTTCAAAAAACTGTATATAAGGCACACTCATTTCCAATACTAGTCACCAGTTCACAAGCATTTACTGATGAAGATAATTCGAAACGCGTTTAAATTCTTGTGAGTACATTTTCCATTTTTCATTTTATTAAATATTCGTCGTCGTTTTTCCAGGGGTCAAAAGGTCGCGGTGCTTCTTCAGCGCTCTGTCTGTCGCAAGATTGTTGAGGTATTTCTGGCTAGTAGCTTGAAGAGGCTCTAAGAATGCGGCTATGCTTTTTACTTACCAGTTTTCCAAAATAGCTACTAGATTATCTACTTTTTCTTGAGGTGCTGGATCCTCAATGATCAGGTCTTCGACTAATGGTAGCGGTATGTTTATAAGTACGGTATCCGGGAGGAAATTATGGGGAAGCAAAGTGGCGGCGTTCTCAGGGTGCGCGGTTTGGAACGGATCTTCCTCTACAGTAATGTGTGTGTATGCGCGAAAAAATTGGTGGAACGTTCGTAAAATTATCTGACGTCCTTCAAAGTTAGGGTGGAGAGCGTCAGCTAGCATTTGCTCGGCAAGATCCAAGTTCAGCGTTAAATTTTAGAGACTCTGATAAGTCTTCTAGTTTTTGATTATAAATTTGAATTTCTTCATGTAGGATTTTTTGAGAGAAATTATGAAAACGACTGCTTTTGGTTCTGAACATGATCTTGGCGAACGAGATGCTCTTTATTGCAGGGTAAAAACGACGCAAACAAGTTACAAGCTCACTTACCCACTTTATAACGGTGCTGGCGACATTCCATGCAATGTCATTTGTGCCGATAACAAGTGTGACGCTTTCAGCCTGGGCTAGGAGGTAGCGGAGTTGACCACTGGTGATCTGGTTAACGTAATCGCGTATCCCAAAGCCGGAGTTAGATTTTATGCGGACGTTGACTGTGTTGTTGTTAAATTGAGACAGCCGAAAACGGGACATTGTTGAATCTGATAAAATGACGTGGTTCGGTTTATTTGTCATTGCTGTTGCCGTATCTCGTTGTTGGTATCGCTGTGCTGGATAACCTTGTTGCCGCGGTTCGTCAACTAAATCAATCGGTGGTGGAGCTGCATGTTGTTGTACATTCTTTGGTTGTGCGTATGGTTTTGCGTATGGTTTTTTTGGTTTTGCGGTTACGGTCGTATATCGTGGTGGAGGTAGGGGAGCCATATAATTCTGTTGCTCGGCATCTGCTGTTGGCGGTGTTGCATAATATGGGTCATGCTGCCTATCTAAAAAGAAATTGAATCTATTATTTGTAGCTACGTACCTACTTTGTTGCTGAGCTCGTTGCTGCGTTCGACGCGCTTTTAAGTCCAGTTGCATGAGTGGTACTGCAGTTGGCCGTGGTGCATTGGTTTTGGGTAGACGTGGCGGGATAGTGGGTGGTGGTGGTGGAATGTAGCTGGTAATATTTGTGTATGAGTTGAAATTTGATGTGGTGCCATTTTGAAACCGTTGCTTTTTGCCGTTATACGTTCCTGAGGTTTGTTGAATTGACGACGATGATTTCCAGCTTTTTACTGGCATCATCCACACTGGTGGCTTATGGACTTGCTCTATGGTTGCCTGCGATTGCTGCCGTTGTACCGGTACCAGTGGCTGTGGTACTAAAGGGGCGATGCTGGTTGATACTGCTTGTGAGGCATTGCTAGTCGTGCGTGGCGGGAGAGCCGTTGCGGGCGCCAGTGTGATTGTGGATTGAGTATTAAGGCGTGGTGGTGATGTACTTGTGACGACTCTTGGCATTAGTGGAACTAATAGTTTTGATACCATTGGCGATGATGCGACTATGGGTGCGAAGTGCCGGTGGGATAGTGGTGGCGAGGTCGGATGTGGTGTGCCGGTACGAGGTCGTTTGGCGGCAGGAAATATTGGAATTTCTTCTAAGCTTCCAATTGTCTGACGGATTTTACGTAAGATTGCTGGTCGGCGAGACCCTTGCTGCTTGTATTGCGACTGTCGACTGCTTGGTGGTGATGGTGGTGAAATAACTTCTGGTACAGTTGCGTGAGTAAATGGTGGATATGACGCCAATGTGCCAAAGGTCTGTGTTGCTGGTTGCGTAACTGGAGGAGGGGTCGTGCGTTCAGGAATGTCTGCTGGATTTAGAGATGCATTTACTACCGCGGTGATTTCCACACCCTCACCCTCACCCTCCACACCCTCACCCTCACGCTCACCAGCACCGTTATAAAGTGGGTAAGTGAGCTTGTAACTTGTTTGCGTCGTTTTTACCCTGCAATAAAGAGCATCTCGTTCGCCAAGATCATGTTCAGAACCAAAAGCAGTCGTTTTCATAATTTCTCTCAAAAAATCCTACATGAAGAAATTCAAATTTATAATCAAAAACTAGAAGACTTATCAGAGTCTCTAAAATTTAACGCTGAACTTGGATCTTGCCGAGCAAATGCTAGCTGACGCTCTCCACCCTAACTTTGAAGGACGTCAGATAATTTTACGAACGTTCCACCAATTTTTTCGCGCATACACACACATTACTGTAGAGGAAGATCCGTTCCAAACCGCGCACCCTGAGAACGCCGCCACTCTGCTTATAATTTCTTGTAAATAGGGCAAGAATCTTGGAGAAAATTTATCGTGTTAAAAACTTCGCTAAAAATCGCTTAGATTTTCGCAAAAACCGAATTTTTTAGAAATCATATGGGGGTCGATTTTGATCACGGCGAGTGATTACGTAGTCATACTTGTACCCCTTGTACGTATATCACGTAGTCATACTTGTACATATACCCGTACACATATCACGTAGTCATATTTGCACAAAAATGATGTTCATAAATTGCGTGTGCACTATAGGGGGTAGTTTTTTTACCTGATAAAAAAGGTAGAACGGATGTGTATTTTTACATGTGGTTAAAGAAACATTTTGAGCATTGTCATTTTTTGGTTTAGAAAATGTTTTTGCAGAGAATGTTTTTGGAGAGCGAGAGACCGGAAGTGTGATTAAAAGGTTTTGGGCAATAAATGATGAAGATAACGATAAAAAGGAGGAGGAAATAGGTTCCTATTTCCTCCTGCTTTGTTGAAATAAATAAACTGTTTCTAGAGTGTGTATGTGACCTTGCCGCTTAACGCTGCATTGTGTCCGAGTTGCATTTGAATTAACTGTTGGGTTGTTGTACGTGCTGATTATTGTTTATGGTGCATGGGTGAAGCTGTTGGTGATCACCTAAAATTAGTAATAAGAATTCGGCAGCACACATATGCTAACATGCTTTAAATTCTGTCTGGTGGAGGACGGAGGATTTGTTTGGATGGTTTCTTACGAACAAGCATTTGAGTTAAATTTTCAGTCAGGCGATTTGCAAAAATTGGATGGACATCTGTGAGGGGTGTGTCTTCAAATGTTTCCGTCCACATTTGGTAGAATTTTGGTCCGAAGCGTGAAATGGAAGGTACATATGAAAAGTGAAGGAGCAAATCTTTTTTGGGGTCAATTTGTTTTCGGAGTGGTCGGTGGCTTGTCCAATTCTGATCTCTAACATTTGTGCGACAGTATTCATATTTGCTTTGGTTCTGGAAGAGAGATTCAAGATTACGGAGACGGAGATCTTTGGCAAAGCGGTCGTAATGAGCGTCAATGAAATTAGATGGATAACCGTTGAGTAGGAGGCGAATTCGGATGTCAAAAATTTCTTCGGATGCAAAAAATATTATAAATAGATCAAAGGTGGCGCGATGGGATCAGCAGTGACCCAAGTACTAGCTGACGTATACATGATGGAGCGGGAACACAACATTCTAGCAATGCAATTGCACGAAAAAGAAATATATCTGAGATTTAGAGATGACATATATCTAACCACGAAAAGACCTCTCTTTGACTTTGTGGACTTGTTAAAAACACTCGACGCCAAAGACCCACACATAAGACTGACTCATGAAACCGGAGACTCAGTAGATTACTTAGACGTCACGATTTTTAGGTGATATTCGTCGTCGTTTTTCCAAAGTACATATATTTTTCTATATATACAAAGTAAAACTAAAATTTCAAAACATCTCTTTTCGTTATTATTTATTCAAGCAACATTCTCGTATCATTTCTCGCGCTTTATTTCACCTTTCGTACTTCTCTTAGTATACATGCTCTTTGGACATGGTATCATGTTAAATCGACTAATTTATTTCAATCTAGATCATGGAAGTGTCATTTAAATTTACTAAAACAAATCAAAATAAAACTACCAAAGTTAATATCAATCACATTCAATTCATTATATTTTCCCCGTTCCGACTTAGCGGATGAGCCAGTTTCAAGCAATGATAAATCAAGGTATATGTTCATAAATGTGGATAGTGTCACTACGATTCATTTTGGAAATCAACCTATAGAAAATATGATACAATGGTTATCGCATTACTCACCAAATGTCAAAAATTCTTGTGGATTTATTGCAATCACATGTGGGGATAAAATAACTGGAATGTTTGTTCATTTGACAAAATCAGATTATATTTATTATCCCAATGTAGAACATGTCCAAATAAAATTTTGGAAGAATCAGGAAGATATGTCCGATCGATATCTGCCATATCGTCTTGTAAAAATATTAGACATTTTTCAAAACTCGACGACGGTAACCTTTTACTTTCAATGGTCTATGTGGACGGAAGTTCCTAGTTTAATAATGGCTGATCGTATCAGAATGATACCTGACTTAAAAATAGGACAAATACTGGACAATTATCACATGAAATCTAGATATAATTTTATACAATTTATCAATAAGAACAATTAATAAACTGAGGATTTCATTGATTAGCACTTGATACATTGAGTTTTTCATATATAGAGTTTCCTGCTAAACTTTTGTTCTGATGAAAATTCTTACGAGTATAAACGTGGTTCTGCAATAAAAAATCTGTTAGGGTAATCCCTGCGGGATTAAAATATGAAACGCGATAGAGCCTGTTATATTATAAATAGGGGACCTCACTAATATATGTACTAATTTTCAACAAGACAATGTACTGTCACAGTGAATCTGAAGAAAAGGAGCCTCAACACAGCTACCTTCATAACCATCACTTTTGTGAAAAATAACCTTGTCAGCGCAGTTGCTTTGCGACTGAAATGTGGAGCTCACATACCTCTTTTCGTGTCATTACGTTGACACAAAACATCTTGCAATTTTCAGTGAAAATCTTACGTGAACAGGATCATTTAGAGCAGTCTAGAAGATTCTTGAGGGTGAGGGTGTTCAGGGTGAGTTTCGAAAGAGAAAGCAAAGACTGAATCCTTAAAGGGTCATCTATTTTCATTTCACTTGTCCACGAAATTCTACATATGAGATTATTTCGAACATCCACAGTGGACATGATTTATCTAACACGAAAGATTAGATAAAAAGGATCATATAATCAAGACAGGAATCGAACCCGCATCTTCCAGTAACCGGTTGGATGTTCTACTGTTAAACTACCTGATCATCTCCTCAGCTACATTATAGCTACACGTCATAATTCAAAATAATTCCAATATATAGATCAGAACAGTAGTGATCCAATAGATCTTTCTCTATCTTTTGCCGTACGAGTACATGTCCTTACCTTATCTCAAACGATCCATCTTAAAACAGCAAAACAGAACTCCTATCCACGAGATAGCTTGATTATCTCAGGACAATAGAGTTACTATTCCAAGTAGTAGATCGTTCAAGTCTAAGATGTGGTTCGAATTCACGGCGGGTCATCATATAATAGAGTGAGTTTCGAAAGTTTTTTCGAAAGAGAAAGCAAAGACTGAATCCTTAAAGGATTATCTATTTTCATTTCACTTGTCCACGAAACTCTACATATCAGGCAGTCCATGTAAGCCACGACCCACACTGCTCAATCGACATCGTTCAATTCAACTACTTCTTTCATACGAGACAGGCACCATTTCTATGAATTCTGGCGTCAGCCGATTCAAAAAATATGTGGTCTCCGATGTTCTATTGAATAGTTTCTATCAACACCACGAAATCCTCGCATCTCGAAGTCGTATATTGGACACGCTGTTTCTCTCTAAAACAATAAAATGGCCCTCAAATTTTTGCCATAGTTATCCAACGAGAAAGGCCTATGTGTGGTCTACAGTGTCACATAAGAACTGTCCTGGGATACCTACAAAATGGCTCTGATATGGAGTCGCCTTTTTGCCGAAAAAGGAGCGATTCTCGACATTTTCCAGTTTTAAATAAAAAAATTTTTAAATTTCCAGAAGCACCGCCGGATGGTGCTGCCAGCAGATGAAGTGTTCAGCATATTAAAGATTATCAGCAAACATTTCTGAAAAAATTTTTCTTCACAGTGACGAGTTGCCCTCTTTATACGGTTTCCAGTAATTAGGGTCTAACTCAATTAGGAAGCCTCTACATTGCTGATGCAAATGACAAGCTAGTCTTTTTTAAAAACCGAAAGATTTCAAAAAATTGTAAAAATTTCTCGAAAAACATGGTAGTAGCGCGCATATTTCCTTCGTAAGTCCGTCAAAATCTGACTGTTTTTCAAAACCCATATATAATCTGAAAGAGGAAACTTCAGCGGATCTTCTTATGTTAAAAACTCAATGTCCGATTTTCCTCCAAAAATTGAGTTTTCTAAGAGACATTGCACATAAGCCACACCCAATATATGTAGAACGTTGCTCACTCAGTGTGACGGATTTGGCTGATATTTTTACAGTAGATAGATCAAGTCAAGTTAGGAAGAAACTGAAAATTTCAGCTCAAATGGATGAGTCAATCTTCAGATATCGTCGCTACAACACTGGGTGAGGGGGTGTTGCTAACGTGTCTGTCACGGTATGTGACGTTTTCATAGTTACGTCTGCCACGGTCTGTGGGGGGGCGCAAATTTTTACCTCTTAACACTTCAACACTCATCTTCGATCATGTTTCACAAAAACCATTTCTAAAAGTTCCTCAGCGTTTTTCTCATAACATCGTTTCCAATCAGAAAAATTGGAACTCCTCCCTCATATATCGAGCTATACCCAACATTTTCGTTTTGTTTTAAAGGTCTCAGTGAGAGGAAACTTTTCATCAACCGCTTTTTTGAAATCGATTCCTAGGTTGAGAAAAGCGGAATTTACCATCGGTGGATCATCATTTTTATGTCGATTCTAAAAATAATGAAGACATGTCTACTAAAATATTCTTAAAAAATGAACAATACAGAATTTAAAAATTCTGGTTGATGAAAACTTGTATACAGACATGGGCTTTAGTTTGAAACTAGCCCGAGCTCTATATCTCGTATTGGGACGGTGTTTTGTCAATTCTCCCGAA